GATCCAGTAAGGGTAGGTAAAAATATACCTTCTCGAATTCAATCACAGGACGGTTGCCCGATGCCTCCGCAAAAGACCTTTTCGACATCATGAATTCTACAGGCTCCAAGGAATGAAATCACTCACGAATATTGTACCTCCTAGCAATGAACATAAGTAAAGCTATACCGATCAACTCAAGTCTTACTTTGCCGTAAATGCTTCTGTTCTCTGAGCATTCTACTATGAGAGGCGAAAGCAGGTGAAACAGAGAAACCTTTGCTTGAAATCGATCCGCGAAAAGATGGGGCATGATGGTGTGTCGAGATACCCATGTCCGAGTCAGAGGGCCCGAATACCAATAGCACGAGCGGGAGGAACACTTGTAAGGCTTGCCAGACGAGCATAGCTAGGGGTGAGACGTAGAGTCTACCCCTCACTGAAGTCTTATATGGAAGTGGGAACACTCATTCGGAGAGCCCAGGATGCTCTGAAACAATGAGAAAGTCGTTGTTCCGGGTGCAAGGCATTTGCACTGGGATTGGACGGCAACATCACCAAACGTTAGTAGCACTAGGTTGGTGAGGGTTTCGCGTTTGTCATGAGGCATCCTCGTGATTCAGTGTGAAGTTGGAGCAACAATGAAGGGCTGACTCGCTGCTAAGTCGTGGGTGAGTTCGCTCCCGACCGCGTGTGGCAAACACCAATGTGAAGGGGGGATTGAGGGCAGGTCCTGGAAGACGGCCCCGATGGCCGTGGGCAGAACAAGCAAAGAACATGAGAAAGGTTGGAGGTCTCGTCCATAATACGATGTCCAGATTGCCCGCGTGGGAAGTTGACCCGGGAGGCGACGATATGAATTGAGCGTTGGGCGACAACTTGAACGATAGTTAGCAGTATCGGTATGGCCCCTAAGCGATTTCTTCCGCGGCTCTCCTTTTCTCAAGTCGAAGATATATATATCATCAGCCAGCGCCCCCTCGATGAGCACGAATCTTCCACGATGTGTTTTCCACGATAAGCCCAGTCATCGCCAGGATAGCCTCGGTCCCAATAATGTAAAATGTGAGCTGGGGAAGGACCGTAGAAGGTCGGTTACGGCGGTTTAGTGGACGCTAGCGGAGAAACCATAGTTTGTCGTGGGTGGATAGGTTCTCCATGATGCTTTGAGAGAGTAGAGTGCCACTCACTAGGGGACGCGGTTTAATATTGCACATAGATACGCGACGGGTGAGCAAGCTGCAGTATTTTGTCGTGTGGGCCAAATCTGTGATTCAAGATTTCGCCCTGTATTTCCGGTCACTTCAGGCATTCTGAACGGCTCAAAGTCGCGTATAACTCACCCAATGCGCACCACGCGGACTGACAATGAGAGCCTCGAGCGAAGAGGTGCGTTTGACGGTTCGAATCAGCGCTTTCTGCTGGGCATCGTTTCCAGACGAGATATCAATCGATTTCTGCTGCGGCCTGCTTGAGAAAATTTCTCGAGCTCGTTTTGTGAGGTCAGTTGAGATCCCAGGAGGAGTGCTAAGGTTTCGAGACATCCACGATAAGTGAACATCGAATGGCTACGTTTGTCAATGTACACAAGTGAAAACACAGAATGCTCGCGAGCGCGACATCCATCCAGCAGCACTGTCGAGCACATTTTCGCAGTATCGCAATTCCTGGGCTTTCTACTACGTGGCTTTACCGACCATGAATACATCACCGCTCCCGGTCTCCAGCTTTGCCTCTGGGCGCCACGGAAATCTTAGAGCGCAACACCACAACTTCGCAGCCATAAATGGCCCAAGTTGACCTGCTGCCTGCCTTTGCGCATGAGGGACATGTTAAACTCACGGCGACGTCTCTAGGCGTGTTCGAAAAATTCTAATTGAGAGAATCTGCGATTCGCCCAAGGGCTCACATTTCTTCCGGTGCCACTGGCATCGATCAATGGGACAATGCAATTAATGTCCCACTCCCTGAAACTCTGGACCGCCGCTGAAGCTGAAGTTTCGGGCTCTTCTGAGATACGTTCTCTGGTTACTGGAGATTTTGCGGTGGCGCGCAAGCCCACTCTCGGAGTCGGTGGCACAAATCACCTAGATCCAGCATTATGTCCTATGAAAGCTCATTGAATGCGGCCTCCATTGCCTATGTCGACATTAGGGAGTCTCTTTACTCATGTGGGACCTGGAGGTTCGCAGTGCTCGGGACGTATGACGCGAGGCTACCTCGTTCTTCCACGCTGCTGCATTTCACGGTTGATTTTGCATCCTTCTTAGATATCCACTTTGCTAAAACACATAACAATGTCCGAGAGGCTTTCAACACGATCAATGGATTACTATCAATAGTACTATTTGCTACATTCAGAGCCCATTCCTCTGCTATTGAGAGTTCTTCCATGTGCAGTCCCGCTCCCGTAACTTGAGCAACATAAGGTTTACTGGGACGAAGTCTAGTGATGACGCGCGATGTCAGCGAGTGCTACCTTGCCATGATCGTCTGCTAGTGAGCTTGAAGCGTTGGTCTCGGGCTGCTGATTGAGAGTGATTGAGAGGTAGCTAGGACATAACAGGTTAGCGAGCAAGATTGGGAATACAGAAAGACATTATCGAAGACGAAGATTGCCCACTCCCAAGCCTGGCTGTTGCGTGGCCCAGACGATCAAGTCTGACGGCATCCAGAGCACTCGAGGATAGCAGCGACCACCTTTATCGCATCTACAAGCCAACAAAGTTGACAGGGATGGGATGGGCACTGCGGCTTATGGCTTTTGGCCCGGCCTCTCTTTTATCCCGTTGACGGGGCGCGCTCACACTCGACCACTGGGTAGTGATCGAATGAGGGAGTGGGGATGAGATGGGAAGAGCGGAGCTTGCAGCAGGCGGTCGGTTGACAGTACATATCTAGAACTTGGTGAGTAAGAAAGTAAGACTGAGAATACAAGATACTTATCGAGAGACAACGTTGCGCACTGGCCCCACTCCCAAGCCTAGCTCTTGCGTGGCCCAGACAGTTACGTCCGACGGCATCCAGAGCACTCGAGGACGACTACGACCACCTTTATCGCATCTACAAGCCAACAAAGTCGGCCAGGGTGGGATGGGCGCAGTTGCTGATGGCTTTTGGCCCGGCCTCTTTTTGATCCCTTGGTCGGGGCGCGCTCACACTCGACCACTAGGTAGTGGACAAGTGAAGGAGTGGGGACAAGATGGAAAGAACGGAGTTCAAAAAACCAGCAGCCTTTCATAGAGAATCGTAGAGCGAAACAGCGCATGTGACCCAAATTGAAATGACCAAGGGGGTAAGCAAGACCGAGAAATTGTAAAGCAAGACAACAGAGTCCGGCAAATGGGGACACTTGAAATTCTAAGAACATGTTTCAGTTGGTATGCTGGTGTGCTCGTGGTGGCGACGAGCAAGGCAACGGGAGCGACAATAGGAAGGGGCCCGGGAGACGCAGGCGCTTGTTTGTCCCGGAAGCAACGATGTCGGAGTCCGGGGCTCTCTTCTTCGGATGCGTTGGACTATTCGACTCTGCTGCTTCGCTGATTCTAATGTTTCGCCGGACTTTGCTATTTTAATGGACTCTGATATGCTGCTGGACTCTGATGCTTTGCTGACTGATGTGTTACTGGACGCTGCTCTTGTGCTATACACGGTACACCCTGCCGTTCTTGCTTGCGCCCTCTTCATCTCACTGTTTGTCAAACGCGAATGTCATCTGCTGTTTTTCGCTCTTCAAAACTCTATAAAAGCCTGCTGAATTCTCCACTCCGCTCTTTCCATCTCATCCCCACTCCCTCACTTGACCACTACCCAGTGGTCGAGTGTGAGCGCGCCCCGTCAACGGGATAAAAGAGAGGCCGGGCCAAAAGCCATAAGCCGCAGTGCCCATCCCATCCCTGTCAACTTTGTTGGCTTGTAGATGCGATAAAGGTGGTCGCTGCTATCCTCGAGTGCTCTGGATGCCGTCAGACTTGATCGTCTGGGCCACGCAACAGCCAGGCTTGGGAGTGGGCAATCTTCGTCTTCGATAAGTGTCTTTCTTTATGCTCCTCGACGCTTCGTAACTTATCACTTCCCAAGTCCTATACGGCTCCTCGCGGACCTCGCCCTACACCTCGAATTTGATATGAACAAAGTACAAGAAGCTGTTGCTTCTAGCTGCAGCTCTAGGACCGGCCATTGACTGAAGGTACGCTCCTTGCTCCTCACTGTATGATGAAGATCATCAAGAATGCCGCAGCTTCAGCAGGATACCCAACGCAGGAAATCTCATTTTCAACCATTCCACGACGATACAGGCGTATCTCCACCAACCCAGGATTCGACGCTTCCATCGACCAAGCATAAAAACTATTCGAATAGTCATTCGCAATCGACATTAGCGGTACTCAAAGCTTCGAGATCTCACTTGCGGCCTCTTTGATGATCGGACGAAAATCGTTACGAGTCGAGGAGGATAGATGATGGGGGGCCGGAGCAGTATGAGATCGCCGGAGAGATGAGGGTGAGGGTCATCGGTATGACTGACACACGAGGTATGTTTCCATTGGGAAAGCGAGTCGTATTTCTTCATTGACACGTTGATTAGGCATGGGTTTCAATGTTCGTAATTTGTGGATACCGACGGCAGTGACGAAGACCTGTGCGGATCACGCTGAACGGCAACCATGGTGAAGAAGATGTGGTCATTGACGACGATGAAGAAGAAGAATCGGCCGCCAAAGGACCCTCACAAGCTGAATAACAGCGTCCATCCCTGGTCGTCTCAGAAAGCGAACTCGATATTCTCGACTTTGCAATCAGTCGCGCACGCTCAACCGGGGACAAAGATGTACAAGTCGCTGTTCTGAGTCGCAAGATATCTCGCATAATATGTTCTGCCTAATACTGTCCGGGGACCTCGTCGGCGACTGAGTACTCAGTTTCGCTGCTTTCGAGGGTCATCAGCGAAGTCGATCCACGTTTGTCTGAGCGTGAGACGTGAGAGATCATGAGTGTTTATGAGGAACATCATTCCAACCGGCCGTCTGGCGAAATGGCATCGCGTCTGACTACGATTAAGTAATTGGTATCAGGAGATTGTAGGTTCGACCCCTACGTCGGTCATTAATTTTTGCGGTTTTCTATTATTCTTTCGATCTATATATGTACTATAGGCGCATTTTTGTTCTTAGAGCAACTTCAATGGCCTGTAGTCAATTGTAATGATATTGCATGGCTCCTCTGTGCCATCACTGCGTTGTATAGTGCGCAAAAAACTCGCCGCTTGCACTGCAGCCGGACCGTTGACCCTCTGTTGGCTTCAACCCAGGTGCCATGAACGTTTTGTCTATACAGCTGGTTGAATATAGGGCCAGAAATATTCAACTAACTACTCATGCGATGGTCACACAGTCCGAGGATCTATCGACTACCCCTGGTCTGGTTTAGGTATTTGGCGTGCAAGCCATTGCTTTACAGGTTACTGACGATGTCATTTCAATCTCGCACTCCACTGCAGTCAAGAAAGAAAAGCCAATCGAATTCCGCCGTCAATTAGTGCTCTACGTCAGAACGCCGTCTGGCGAGTCAGATCAATGGCAGCATGCCAGAAGTAATCGCCGTATGCAGATAGAATGAGCATATTACACGAGAGCCAAGGTATCTTTTGTCCGGGATGTGCCCTTGAAGCCTTCTTCCTCAACTCTTCTTGACTCGAGCAAGGGCTTGGGTGGTCCTCAGTGACCTCGCGATAGCCGAATACGAATCGATCATCAGCCACAACGGGATGAATACCCATCTAGATCATCTGTCAGAAACGATTTGACGAGAACAGAATGCGCGTACAATAAGTTCATGAACTACAGTCAAGGAATATACGAGAAGAAATCAGCGCCCGGAAGTATGAAACGCCATTCGCACGCACCATCAGATAAACCCAGAAATACAACCAGTTAGATGTGACCAGTCCATGACTGCCAGTCAGCCACTCAGGAGCAAATGTCATGAATCTAACATTCCAAAGCGCGAATCGTTAGCCCTGATGAGATTGAGGACCGGAATCGTTCGTACCCTCCATATAATTCAGCGGTGCTGATGACCACAATCCAGTAATGTCTCGCAGGGTCGTCTTTTATGAGTTGATAGATGATATAACAGCACAATGGTCCCACTCCAAGGACCGTCAAAATCTCAAGAGAGACAACGGTGGGATCCGCAAGCCCCCATCTGATGTCGGCACGGGCGTATTCTTTCCCTAAACGCCTCGCGGATAGACGCGTCAAAGAAAGTTTCTGGACCAGAAATGATCTTACAAAGTTCAGCAAAGGGACCCGTGCTAGATTGAACAGTCCTCCCAAAGACTGAAAGGTACAGGAACGACCCTTCAAATGAGAAATGTATGAGAGCATCAAACGCCTGACGATTGGAAGAGGAGCATCCGCAATCAGTCCGGAAATATATTAGATATGATATCATAAATATGCTTACTAGCCATATAAACGTGGCTCGCTCTCTAAAACCAGCATGCTTCGGCAAAAGTGTCTTTGAGCCGGTGTATGCAATGAACGCGATCAAAGACACGGCCCCCAGAGAGTAAGCCGACGTCTTTGTGAAGAATTCCGGGGTGTCACTTGGAGCCATCTTTCGCAATAGTAACGTGAAGAATCAAGAAAGGGGCCAGTCGTCCGACGAGGGAGAGTTCACACCGTTGCTACCACCGCCCAGAAATGAACTAGTTCGGCTCGCTTGGGCGCTTCATTCTGCTTCTCCAACAACTTGCTCATCTGCATGTTTTCTGGGACTGGCATCAGACTCTATTTCTGTTCTGACAGCCCGAAGATCTCTCAGTCAACGATTGAATCTCGCATAATATGAAGTCATCCTATGGGCTCTGCAGTCAATTCGAAACAGGAACAACCTCGCCTCTTCGACGGCAAAGTGGTCATGCCTCCGGAATCATCGCCAGTCGTCCTTTATAGCGGGCGAAGAATTGCCATTTATACTCCGTAGGAGTGACTTGTATATAAGGCCGATCGTCGTTGTTGGAGCCTTGATTGTCTATCTTTCGTCATGCAAATCTCTCTTGTAGCCGCGGCTCTCGTCTACCTTGCCTCCTCAGTCAGTGCCCAGAGTGGGGCTTGGGGACAGTGCGGTATGTTGTTTATTGATGTCTACTATGACATGCTCATATTTGACCGGCATAGGTGGCATTGGATGGTATGCGATCCAAATCCCCACTGGATAAAATATCAGTATTCTAAACCAACAACAGGAGCGGCGCCACCACTTGTGTCTCTGGATACACTTGCACCTATTCAAACCCCTACTATTCGTGAGACAAACTACACTTGGAACGGGAATCGAACTAAATGAAGGTCTGTTTAGCCAATGTCTTCCTGGATCCGCCTCTTCCACCTCGACGACGACAAAGAGCACTACTAGCACCACCTCCACCAAAACTTCCACCACCACCACTTCCACCACCACATCGACTTCCAAATCTACAAGCACTTCGACTTCGACCTCGAGCACGAGCACAAGCACGAGCACTACCACCTCAACTTCAACCTCGACCGGCGCCGCTCCTACTGGCTCTCAGATCCGTGCTGATCAAGACCCGGTCTACCACTTGTACCTCCAGAACGTTGGTACGTGCTTTCCATCTTTTATTTGTTGCCGAACGCATCCTGAGCTTTCCCTAGGCGGAACTCCCGTTCTTGGCTCAGAAACCACCTCAGGATTATTCACCCTCGGAAGCACTATCACTCTGAACCAGGCCGGCGGTAGCAAGCTCTACTTCAACGTGAACACCAACGTCACCACCTCCTACAAGCCCGTCACTTTCGACACTACCGCAAAGACAACTACATGGGGCCTTTCCGGAGATACCATCATCTACGGCAACCAACAGAACTTCCTTGTCTGCCCCATCACCGGAAGTGCCAACTGGAACTTGTACCTCCAGACTGGCAATGACGTCCCATCGGGAGTCGCGTGCACCGACTATATCACCATTCACTTGCCTTGTCTGTGTTAGAGAGCGAGAAAATGATCGTTCATCGACATTTCGAGCTCTGCAAAGTATGGGATAATTTAAGAGTGTTGTTGCTTTTGTATTTCCTCGCCTTCCACGCTCTAATATAGAGGTGATGGGTTGATGACCCGCGTACTCTCTACAGCACGGGCACACTGCAAGTGGCTGCTCGATCACTGAACTTCGTCACAAATTTATATGCCAAGCGGCGCATGAGCCTGTATTTTCTACGATATTGTCTTCAATAGCAAAACGCATAGCGTAACTAACAAAGCAACCCGAATCAGAACTTGATATCCGACTAATTGAAGAACCAAGTCAGATAAGGGGATGGTCAGCTGAAGAAAACTTGGTCGGAGTTGCCTTATGCGCTTCCGGTAACCACGTCTTCTCCGATCATATTTAAACAGTTCAGTCGGCTCTCAGCTGAACCAGTCGTCCCCTCGACCCAGGAACCACCCTCTCCTTTCTCTCCTCCTTTTCCGTAGTTAGACGATGTTGGCCAACATTTTTATTCTTTTCTTTTCAGCAGCCACTGTTCTTGCTGGCCCCATTACCCTAATGCGCCGAGTGGTTTTCAACCCGCTCATCACATACCCAACGGCTGGAGTGCAATGGAGTTCAGGTTCTAAGCATAACGTTACATGGTCCGTTTTTCACGTTATCTGTTCAGCGAAAACACGTATGCTTAAGCAATCAAAAGGTCCAACGCCGGCGCCCCGTCTGACTATCCGTTGAACAATGCCACTGGTATGCTCGTCTTAGGACACCTGACTGACGACTCGGAAAACTTGGATTTAAGTCAGTCTTTGAGCCCTGACTATGAGAAAACCCGTTGACACCTCTTATCAGACAATCCTCTGGCCACGGGCTTTTTGATTAAGGATGAGAGTGTTTGGATCACCGTTCCAGACGTCGAACCACGAGAGGATTATATTGTCGTTCGTACGTTTCATCTCCGTTTCATCTTTGTCAATTGGGGTACATTCTGACCTTCTTTACAGTCTTTGGTGACTCTGGCAACGCATCTCCTGAGTTCTCGATAACGAATGTTACGATTGCAACTCCGTCTTCGTCTTCATCTACATCCACGACATCTTCTACGGCCACCTCTACTAGCACATCCTCATCGTCTTCGACGACTGATAGCACGACAGCCGTCACGACCTCCACATTACCTGCACCCGATGCAGCATCTAGTGCCACGACTTCTACGTCCTCCGATTCATCCTCTACCTCTGGCGTTAGCACTTCTACATCAATCAGCACCGTCACGTCACCCACCTCTACACTTCCCATCAGTAGCACGTCTTCAACATCCAGCTCAAGCCCCTCGGGAGGCTCCAATCTGACAAACGCTGCGGCACCCAAACGCCTTAGCGTTGTCCTTCCTCTCGTAGCAGGAGCGCTCTGGGCATTATACCTTTGATTCACGGACTTCACATTGACTAGTTTCTCCCTCATCGCTTCGGACATTATATACTTCGGACATGATTTGTTGGGTTCCGGATTTAGTCGAGTAGGGCCTCGTACGCATGCATTTTCTGCATCCACGTCTTCGCATTCTTAGCACCGTAGGCATACCCTCGCATTGTATTATATTCGCGCATCTTCGTACTCGTTGGAAAACATTTTCTTTTACCTGACTCGAGCATGACATAAGTCGAAACACGTTCAGCTCACCGGTCTCGTCAGCTCGTGCCGGCGACGGTCAGCGTCGGCAGAGGTACGCGTCACTCCAGGATCGTCATGTGCCGACCATCGATAGCCTCAATGAGTGGAAGGACGACGTCGACGCTTCGCCAGGCTGGCCGTAGTGCAATTAGAGTGAACAGATTAGGCTGAGAGCGATTACGATTGGATGTTCCACTCCCCGGAATCGGCCTTCCATGGGCACAGAAAACATATAAAGGGATGACTTTCTCCTCTCGACGCTCTCCACGACCTCTCCTGTCGACGACTTTCTCTGCACCCAAAGGAAAACATGACTCCCTCTCTTGCTACTCGTAAACTCGGCAAGAATGGCCCTGAAGTAACTGCAATTGGCTTTGGCGCTATGGTGAGATTACCTCCAGCGCTTGATTGTAGCAGA